AAAAAAAAAACGCCGCACATAAATACCTTGAGCTGCGACATGAAATCCAACAGATTACTATTAGAATTCGTTCTTCGCTTTCCGATATTCGGTCTCATTTTTAGCTTCCTCACTCCACTCTAACATCAATGAAATAACCAAGAAAAATCGTACAAACTCTTCTCATAAACTCCTAAGGAAATACGTTCACCGTGAGCAATAAGTAGGAATAAAAACAGTAAACTTCATGGAGTGAAGCTATGAAGAATACTAGATCGTAATGATACTTTCTAAAAAAAAAAGAAAAAAAAAGCACAAGAAATGACAAATAAATGATACAGAAACGAAACTGGCAGAAGAATATGAGCTGCAGTGGCAATAGAAAACTATCCCAGCTCTCCAAATAACAACTCCAGATCACTTGCAGCCACAAATTTATAAGGATCCTGCTGCATGTATTCGTCTTCCATCATCCATTCCGTTTTGCGCTTTTCTGCCTCTCTTTCCTCCTTCATATTACAAACTATTCTGAAACAATGATAACAGTAACAAAAGAAAACCTGAAACTGTGGGGTAATGAAGGTATCAACGGCAATTAAGCACGAATTAAAGGATTAGTGGTAATAACAAGGATCGATAAGCAATAGTAAATGAAATTTAGGCGCAAGTGCGAAACGGCAAGAAGGGACATGGTTGGGAGGAAGAACTGTTTCTTCATATGCACAAGTTACAAGATAAGCAAAAATGAACTTTGATAGTTTGGACCACTCATTCGAATTACAGTCCAATAAGCTTTTGTGCACATCATACAAATGCACATTACCATGATCATCACCGACAGCAAGGCTTTGACCTAAAATGGCCACAATATCGTTGAAGCACCATAATTAAAAATAAATATAGAAATAAGGGCACAATAATTATAGTCATGACAATAATAATAAACGAAGTCATAATAATAATAGTCAGAATTAGCTAGGTATTTCTTTATACCCTATGAAGGGCGTGCATGATGAAATTATAGCGAATCGCAAAAGTTAAGCTTCCCTTCGCTCACTCTCTCCCCTCCCAGCAAAATAGTATGAAAGCTTATTAAACAGCTCAGGCGCGCCATCTCTAATTTCTTAACAGAACACTTATTGGAGGATTCGTGCTAAAAGCGCGCGCCATTTTCCGCTGTATAGCAGGCTATCAGTGTAGCAAAAAATGCTTGAAGCAAACTGATAAAAGCAGATAAGAGAAAGTCCATTTTAGGAAGCACGGTTCTCGAAAGATATTACGTTTCAGCATGCTGTAGGATAACCTCAATCATAGCCATACTAAGAAGACAGTGGAAGGTTTTTTCGTTTAATTTTCTGCCTAGCAGCAATAACAAAATAACGAAATCAGAATCATCAAGCTCATCAGTAAAACGTGTGCTGCCCAAAAGAGCTTGTAATAGTATTTTCAAGCCGCCTGATTTCACCAGACTATCAAAATCCATAACAGTGCCTTCAGACCCCTATAAGTCACTTTTTGTATAAATTCACTTAAAAAGAGACACAAGGAAACACTTTTACCAGAGTATCGGAAGGACAATATCAGATGAAAAGAACGAAGTGAGATACATGAGGTGTTCATGTACGACAATTGCATCACTGCCACAAAGAGGCAGCAGGAATTCGAAAAAGACATTAGACCACATTTATGCAAAGTATCCGCACTGACCGTCCTGTATCCATCTCATTTTGCGCACTCCATATCCCCTTTCCGTTTGTGCCTCCGATATCGGAGCTCCAGTATTTTCGTTTAAATTCCATAAAAATACCTAAAAGACATAGAGATGCTTCTATAAAACAAGTAGTTGGCATCATTCTCAGCATTTAGCAATCGGAAACTAACATTTCCACTGGCATCTGCCGATGCGAAAACGGCAGGATGAACAGGCGACCACGCAACATCCGTTACGAAATCGCTGTGATTTTGAAATGAATGAAGTGGTTCCGCATCCTGTAAACATCCTCGAAAATTGCGAAGGAAAATATGTTTTTTATTTCTGGATATGGCTTTCTCTGAGTACCAGAATGGCTGCTCAACAACAGATACAATCATTTTATTCAGAAAAAAAAAACAAAAACAGAGGATAATCCTTTTTTTTTAACACTTCATATTAAACTATTAAATCATGGTCCCTTCTCTTCCAGGATATGTTCTTCTGACCGTACATTATTTTGCATTTCCAGTGCTTTCCTTTGTTCTCATGCTTAATAAATCCCGCTTCTAACAACTATCAGTAATATATGCAAAATTGCCCAGTCATTAAATTTACTTTTTTGAAAGTCAATATTGCATATTCTCGCTTAAAAAAGATTAAGTATCAACAGCACCACCTGTATGCTCCACAGATTGATGTTCCAGTCCAAGGAACAGGACAAAAATAAATGCGACAAGTCAGTGGTCCCGGCAGCTCTATGCATATCAACTCCCGTTACGGGCCAACAATGACCTGGAAACAAAATTAGTTCCCAGGTATTAACAGTGTATTTCAGCTGCTACAAACTTCTAAAACTAAGACTGGCTTACTTTTATAAATGCCTCTAATTATTCCATTTTTAAAGAACTGTACACCCGTCCTATAAATATTTCCTTTATCATCACCTAACATGAAATTCTTTACATCTCCATCCATCATGGACATGCATGTGCACGCCACCTGAAACACAACAAAAAAAAAAACTCGCAAAATAATAGTAGTGTAAGTAACAGTAATGATAGCTAAAGTAATAATACTAGAAATTATGTATTCTGTAAAGTTTGAACTAAATCCGATATTTACAGAGAAGAACGCACGAATGTTGAAGGTAAAGCGCTATCGGTTGGGAGACTTCCGAGTGTCTAAGCGTTTTAAAAAGAATACAACAAATAGGGCCGGATTTTTCTTTTTTTTTAATGCGAAAGGGACGAGCATCGATTGTAAAGATGAGCTAGAATGATGCTGATTATGAAGCCCATCAAATCAATGATATGATCAAACCAATGATATCCAACTGTCGTATTGACATAAGAAATAGAGAAATCCGCTGAGCAGATAACTCCATAAGCTCTGCCAACCACCAGTGGTTACTGAGACAAGCAACAAGGAAGGAGGGGAGGGAGGGAAGTCGGAGAGAACGAAGGAGGAGAATGCCCACATGAATTATTTCCGAATAGAAGACGTGTGCGTACAGGTGGTATAAGAGGTAAAGTATTAAGATAGGTAGCAGAGGGTGTTCGTTACATATTTTTGCTGGATCTCAACAACCCCCATCAACAGCAGTCTACTAGAAACACCGATACAATGAGTGAGAAAAGAAAATGAGGCCTTGTTTCCATTCCACAGTAATTCGGCTACAGTGATAGGTTGACTGATTTTTTCATTGTCCCACAAACAAAGTCGGCCATTTGCTGATATGCTAATTAAATTGCCAATATGCCCGGCGTCCACATTGGCCATGCTCAGAACTGGATATCGATTTGCTTGTATCACAGTGCTCTGCAAAAGGAAAAACTTTGCTAAGCACAAAACGTCAAGGCTAGAAAACGCTCGAAATACTTAAATGCACAAACCTCAACAGCGGGAGCTCTTATGCCGGTTCTACTGTCCCAGATACATAATTGCCCCGAAAAACAACCTCCCAGCAGCAATTCTGGGCGATTTTTAACGAACGCAACGCATGAAATTGGCGACTTACACTCGAATGTATGTCTGAAAATGGGTACAAGCCATTCGATATGACCATTGCTTTAATAAATAACGAAATACCAATAATATCAAGACCACTCGGCAGTTAGTGTCGGACATCTACACATGTCGGGCGCAGTTAGCCAGATCCTTCGATCCTGGGCTGCATACCTCAAATTAGCACCCCCGCCTGTTCGATGTATATGAGCCACCTGTTGAGGGGCGCCGAGTTGTCGTTTGCTTTTGAGTTTTATTCTTTTTTGTCTTTCTTCTCTTTTTCAGCAGTATAGAACAGCTTTACCTAGGCATCATTTTTGTAAATATGAAAGATCCCTAATGATGACGGTTTTTGTGGGACAGCTTTACCTAAGCATCATTTTCATAAATAGGGAAGTCCCAGTAGCACACTTCCTCATCCTTTCCGCTCTTCACCTCCCTCTCTCCCCTCCAAATGTATGTTACTTAGTCAATCGGCAAAGGATCTACGCCATTTAATCCTTATATCCACCTATCCTAGCCCCTCCCCCCTTCGCTGCCTCGAACGAAACTCACCATATACCACCCCACTTCCACCTCCCACATTCGAATTGCCGCCATCCGCCGTAGGGCAGTCCTACTTGCCGTCGGGAGAAAAAATTTTTTGTGGCTTGCGTATGAGACGAGCCAAGCCGAGTTTTTATAACTGCCCATTCATGAAGGTTCAGTCGATTTCGTTTTTCCTTTTTGCGTTTTACGCAAGCCAGGTCCATTTTCTTCCCGCAAATAGCGACCAGATATCCAGTAAAACCGTCTTCAGCTTTCATTTTCAGTCTTAAGAAATGAATCCACAGAACAACTTACTTAACATTTAGTTTCTTTTCATGACAACTCCAGACCTGCGCTATACCGCCCGAATGAACAACTGAACCAGGAATCCGATCATACGAAACGGCAAATAATTCTGGATCCTGCTCACAGTGAACGATCCCAGTTATAGCTCTAAAAACTGGTGTACATCATATTGAGAATATGAAGACTTTCAAGACGAGTGCTAAAATTTTTAAAAAGCAGTCCGGAAATATGATGGCTCAGAAACGCATGATTCTTTGCAAAGGAGACACTTTCTCTGCGCTTTTTGATTGTTTTCATTAGCAGTTGTTCTGTCGTGGTACAAGCCTTTGTCATCAGCATGTAGTCTTACCACAGTTGCCTTGACTTAAGCAACATTGCCAAGCAATCAACTTGCTGTTGATTCAGCCGTTGGTGCTCTTGTTTTTGCTTGCTTTTCCATAAGCGCAAGAAGCAGCACGTTTCCATCGTTACTTATGTAATCCTTTAGCTCAGCTACAGATGACCCTTGTACGTCATTTCATAACAGTTATCTTCAAAATGCCGCATTTCAAGAAGTATTCACCTTCCTGCACTCCAGTTTTTATCGACACCTTTACTTACATATATTAATTTCTGTTCCTTTTCCTTAATGTCTTTGTAATGCGAATAATCAACAAAAACGTCAACCTGAAAAATCTGAGCTATTGATTAGCCGAGTAAGCAGAAATCTCAAACAGACGATATCAAGCCGAAAGTGAAATTTGGATTGAAAAAGTATAAAAAGTAGCTGAAAATATAATAAACCAATAGCAAGATGAATAAGTAACAGAACTCAGAGTTCCATAATATTGCAGCACCACCCTAGTGACGACCACTGGTCAGTAAAAGCAAAAATTGCAAAATTAGAAACAAGATTCTAACTCCTATACGTCGCATTAACACAACTTCTTTAAGCTGAAAATCATATGTTTGGGGTGACAGCATAGTCTTCTAAAATGAAAGTTCACCGAGTTCTCAGGAACAGTCCGACCAAAATTGGCGCAACAATCAAAGACAGAATGGCTAAGAGCAGATAGCCATGTGTATTTCAAGAAGCAATTTTGCGAAATCGGCAAGAGATGCACAGTTGCACGGAGCTTTTCAGAAAAGATCCGTACAGGAGGGAGCTACCAAAAATTAACAACGTGCAAGATTGCCTGTGAAGCAACAATCTCTCGCTCTATAAGAAGCGAGGCGTCGTTGCAAAATTTTTGGAATTTCGAGCTGCTAAGAATTTGCAGCTTTTCGTCTTCGCACAATTCTGGCAATTTCGTTTCTTCCTTTGCTTCCTTGTCAAAAGTAGTCTAAAAATGCTTCTAGTCGTACTTTGCAGAAATACAGATTAAACACCACATCCAGTAAGAAGGTCATGATGCACAGCTGTAAAACAAAGTTTTAAGCATGGAATAGTTCTGGCGATGAATGACACTGGCGATTTGTCGATTACCTCTTCACCGGTTATCATATCGCTGTGATTGAATTCCTGGGAGCTATCGGTGCCGGTTTGCGGTGCTTTGCGGTCGTGTGTCTGAAAACGGAATTGCGCTTCTTATAATTTTTCGTACCAGCATAGCAGCAGCTATGCATCTTTAGGGGATCTTACTGCTGCTGCATTGGTAAAGATGGCGATCTGAACAAACAGGGGTTGACTGTTGCCAATATATTCCGGGTACCACTGACGTTATCACTTCACTAATATCACCGTTGTTATCGACCACTTATTGGCTCGGTGACTAATGGAATTTGATTACTTTTTTACTGTAAGCCAAGGCTGCCAGATCGTCATAATCGAGTTCCTCAGAACTATCGGCCTCGGTGAGCAGTGCTTTTTTGTCACATGCCTGAAAGCAAAATTATACCTCTTACTTTTTTTTCGTACCATCATAGCAACAACTATGCATCATTAGTATTCCTCATCATTGTTTCACTGATAAAGACAGTAATTCGAATAAACAAAGACTGATTATGGTCAGTATACTCTGGGTGCTATTGATGTTACTCACTGACACTGGCGATTTGGTGACTCACAGAAATTGATTACCCTTTCATTGTAAATCGCGGTTATCACATCGTCAGAACTGGATTCCTCAGAGCTATCGGCATCGGATTGCGTTGCTTTATAGTCATACAGCTGAAAACAGAATTGCACTTCTCACAATTTTCGGGGTTAGTACAATGATAGCTTTGCAACATTGCTGCATTGCTCATCATTGCTGCATAAATAAAGACAGTGATCTAAATAAACAAAGATTTACTGTTGTTAATATACTCTAAATGCTATCGACATTACTACTGATACTGGCAATTTACTTGCTCGATGACTAAGAGAAATCGATTACCTCCTCTTTAAACATCGAGGATATCAAATCGGCATAATCAGATTCGTCAGAACTCTTGGCACCGGTCTGCGTTGCTTTGCAGTAGTGTACCTGAAACGAAACTGTATTTCTGTAATTTTCCAGATTAATACAGTGACAGTTAGCATCATTTAGATCTCCTTATTGCTACTACATTGATAAAAACTTAAAGAAAAAGGATTTTCTCTCGTCAACATACTCTGGATGCCACTGATGTTACCCGCGTCTCGCAGAGTTCCAGATTATTTTTTGCTGTGTCGGAAAACGGCTGATCCTCCTGATTAAACATCACGCCGTCCTGCAAAATAAACGAACGAACTCACGGATTTTTTGCCTTTGCAGGAGAAAACTGCAGTCCCGACCGACTACATCGCTAAGATTTTCTTACTACCAGTGGTCCGGCCGCACCACCCGCATAGGTTTCGCAATGCATGTGGTCTACGTTGTGGATGAAATTTGAATCTACGTGGTCCATCCAACGATGATATGCAGCGTGGGGCCCTAGCCGCTGCTCGGCCGTCCCAATTTAGAAATCACTGAGCATCGCTGCGCACAATGCGCTTAATATAGTCTCAATAGGGCCGTCTGGACTATCTGTTTTGGTATTCCATGCTGATGGTAGTGCTGGATTGCTCCCTTACGTCGTCTGCCAAGATTTTCCGACCCTGTGCTGCATACTTTCAGTAAGTACCCACCACGCCTAAGTACACCATCGCTTAAGGGCCAACTGAGTGGTCGCTTACATGCTGTTGAGAACCGTCACTGATACGCTATATCCACTAGCTGTCAATAAGGTATGCAATATGTCTTACCCATTCAATTTAACTTTTTGTGGTCGCAATGAAATCTTGCAAGCCACTCATCTGACGGAAATTGCTTGTATAATCACAAAAAGAAAACTTTAACCTCCCTCGGTAACAGGTAGTGTTCACCCTTTGGCTTCCTCCAGTGACCATTTTTCGCACTCGCGCAACCCCACCTTCAACAATGAAGGATTTTTAGCTTTTCACTTTTTTTCCGCTTTTTTCCGAGGGTTAACTGAATTAAAAATTGTTCGTTTTTCCAAATAGCTGGGGTTAATTGAATGCTTTTTCCATTCATCACCATCCTATCAAGAAAGCCTTCGCTGTGCCTGCATGAGGCCATAGTTTGAAACCAGAGACTCCCTAAACAACAGCTCTTATCAGTGACATAATTGATATCATATAAAAAGGAAAATTATTTTTACGAGTCACATGAGCAAAAAAAAAGCAATAAAACTTTCTCTAAAGTACATTTTAGTAGTATGCGCATTTGCTTGACTGATACAACCCAAAAAAAACAAATCGCAGATAGGTCATTTGCGTGTTATTTGTTTGTATGTGTGTATGTTTTGGTTGTGTATGTTCGTTTTTTTGTGTGCACATGTTTGCCTGCATGTGCAAGCACGTGTGCGAGCATGTGTGTGACCACATGAAACACAATTGAGGATGCTGCTCCTGGTCATTCACATATCCGGAGGCGTAAACCAACACTCATTTCGTCTAACATCCCGGCGAAAAAAGTGAAAGTTTCAGTATTACAGCATTATTCCAACACAGCGACAGTTTAAGTCACATTATTTTAAATCTTCATGCACGATAGCGGGTTGCATATTATTATTCGATGAGTGGTAAAAAAACAGTCGAGGTAAAAAGGGCTGTGCGTATTTTGGTGCCCTGTGGGCACATAATGAAGGTAGAGAGGGCACCTGAGTTGTTGCAGGCACCTATTGTTGGAGAAGCTATGTAGCAGCTAGGTTGCAATTCAGGTAATTAATTAAAAGCAGTTTCAAGTATTTCAGATGTGATGAATAACGTGCCACCATTCAAAAGATCTGGAGATGATAAGAACGAGAGTTCGATCCCCTTCCGGTCCAGCGGGCTCCGTTTGCGACACTGCTTACCAGTTAAAAATTCAACAAATTATTTGTCAGAAGGCATCTTTCATTCCGATCTTTCCCTGGTGGAATTTGACCGTTCTGTTCGTAGCTCTGTTTAGAAATGCGACGCAGTTGCGCATCTTTCGTCAGGTCACATGTGATGCGTCGTCACGACGGCGCGCCGATGTGACATGCCGGAGGCCGTCAAAACGCATCGCAATTCATTTCGCTTTTTGCTGATGAAGCCGGTTTCGCCTCACTGCCTTGCTCCGTGTTCCTTGATGTTTGCGTGTCCGTTTGCTAGATTCCGGATGATTCACTTTACAATGTTGTGTTTGCCCAGTTATTTCCTTTCACCATCTCATCAGCTCCTGTCCTCTTCCCTGCTACTTCTGCCGTTTTTTAAGGATTCAGTTTACAGTGCTTCTGCTGTTTTCTGATGACTTCCAGTCCAGTTCTTACTTGTCTCTTATCTAATTTGCTGTGATTTCAGTCTGATTCTGATTAAGTTTTGATTTGCTTTTGATTTACGATCTACTTTTCAACTACTATTTTTCAACTTTTTTCAGTTTCAGTTCGAATTCAGGATTCATCTCTCTTTTTTTTCGTTTTTTTTTCGATTCGCTTTTCATTCCAGTTCGGACCAATCCCGGATGATGGTTTCCTTTTCCACTGCAGCCAGCCATTCAGGATGGCCTGCTGCCACCCTTATCCATATCACCAGTGCAAAATAGTCGCATCATATTCGAGTGCATAACTTCGAGAGGCTACTTTCACAATTTAAAATCATTGGCGACGCGCACTGGGGGCCCCGTGCGATTATGCGTTTTTGCAGTGCTTCATGCTGTAATAAGATTACTCGAAATTCCGCTAGCTAAAAACCTCTTATACATACTGGTCCTCG